GTTGCAGTTCTAGAAGGTCCAAGAAGCCAAACTGCAATTCAGAACAGTTACGTTGAAAGCAATTATTATTCACTCTAACCTTAACCTTAGTCAAAATGCCTACCCTTGTATCATTAAGAGACTGCCTCTTTTTGCTCCTGGCATAACCAAATATTTCTGTAGGGACCAGATAGCATTACTGTCCCTGAACGCATGTACTGTCCCTGGAAGCACCAGGACTGAAGGTTTCAGGTGTGCCAGGTTCTGATCAGAAGTGGTGCCACACCCAGCACCAAAGGGGGTAATGCACTTCAGCAAGGAGTGGAAGGAGAACCAAAATGTTGAGACAGAAGCCAGGTGGCCTCAACTTGGACAGCAAGAGAAATTTTACCAACAACCTACAGACTGAAATTTGGGGGCCTATAGTCTTGTAAAGTATACTAAAGGCAATATGGAGAGACTGATATCCAGAATGAAAACAATTTCTTAAAATACTAATACAATTTAACATAGTCCCATATTTAATTCAAAGCTCAAATTCAATGAATACTTTGCTTCTTAAGCTAAAAAAATCTCCTGGTCTTCAAAACAAGCAAAGTAAGATGTGTGAATTTGCCCTTTATTCTCCTACTATAGCTAAAATTTATAAATGGCAGATTCTGTTTTTAACCCAACAGCAAAAATGACTTACATCTAATAGGTAAAATTTGCTTAGCAAGTCCACTATGTAAAAGGCTTGAAATTTAGTCACCAGTGATGACAACAGTATATTAAAAATACTGTTTAGTCTCACGGGGTTTTATATAGCTCGTTAAAACGAGCACTAAATTAAAGAATTGAAATGTGGATTTTACAACTTGACGATCAGAAAATTAATTTGCATTCTCATTTGTAAAAAAGTGATGAATTATAATATGGGAAATACATTTGGGGTAACCCCCCTCCCAAATCATATTGATGGAAAAATGTGACACTGCAGCCTACCACTAATATAAAAATCCACACAAAGGTGAGCAAACAGGATTTTGGTTTAAGAAAGCAGTAGGGTGTCCTTCACTATGGAAGTTATTCTTGTGATAATTCAGTAACCCAAGTCCAGATGGAAGTAACTCCCACTTTACGGCAGCAAAGTTATGTGACTTGCTCACCATCTAACAAGCCTTTTAGACTACTACAAGTGTTCTTCCCCACCAATAAATGACGAAGCAACAATTACATTCCGGATGACCAGTCCTGTAAAACAGGGCTCACTAATGTACATATGTATTTCAAACTATCTTACCAATGTGGCTTTAAGATTTCACCCTAACCAGAGTCTCCCTGGTTGCACAGGAGTTAAGGACAGCACTATCCAGCTATCGCTAGCCACTGCAGCTGAGCCTAGTGAGTTCAATTCCCAGCCAGAGGTGACCCAAATGGCAGAGCAGACCTCTCCGCCTCACTCGCTGCTCCCCTCAGCAGTGTATTTCAATCAATCCGCCGGTTCTGTTCCCTACTCTGTCTCTCTTCTTACCCCTTGCACCTCTAGCTTGTACCCGTTTTTGTATGCATAAACAATTTAAAAAAAAAAAAGTTACGTCTTGCCCAGACTACTCAGCCATGCTCTCCCCTTACACACCACCTGCTCACTGCCCACTTCCCTTAATCTCACAGCTGTTGGAATAAGAGCCTTTTACCACAGGTTGGACCTAGTGCCTCTTCCTCTTGACTCCTTTTTCCTTAAGCTGCAACTGTTTCCTGCACTTATGATTTTTTTTTTTTCAATTCTTCAGACCTACTTCTCCCTGTCCTTGTCAAACATTGTAATCAATCATGTATCAGTGCTGAAACACTGTGCAATCTCAATTTTTTAAATAACTCACAATTATTTATGTATTTGAATATAAAATAGATGACTCAGGGCTATAACAGGCATGACTACATTAGGTCTACCATGAATATTCATCAGAAATCTGGTTATTTGCCCTCTTTCCCTAAATCATGTCTTTTTTGCTCCAGTTACAGGTTTAAAGTTCTTATAAAATGGTATGCTACCTATTTTACAGAAGTTATGAATTGTGTAAGACCAATGGCAAGTCTGATCAAGAAAGGACTTGCTTCTTCACACTACTACATTCTGTAAACCAGCTACCAGGCAGGAGAGGTGGACATCTTAAGATACTCCTTTATCTCATTCAAAAATATTTCTGGCCTCTTCAAATTATAGGGTAAGGCAGGGAATTGCAGTTCTCAATTGACTCGAAGCAAACACCGTTGTTTCCAATCTGCACGATTTTTCTTGACGCTTACCCACACCATCCTCCAGGTGACGCTGGTAGCAAGAGGAACATTAATCATTATAGGCAGGCAATATTATGTGACCATTTAAATTATCAAGGGAACAAAAAAGAAGTTAAAAGAACAAAGGCTAAAAATCGACTTGATAGTAATACCAACATTCCTAGTTTTACACTTCAGAGGACCCAAAGGCAAGAGATGTAGGTTTCAAGGTCACAGAGTGGCATCAGAACATTCTCAGGTGCGCTGCTCCCTCCAAGCCTACTTACCTGTCTTTCCACCCACCCACAAAGAAAAATCTACTTAAATCCAGAATTCCTAGAATCACGACTCTGCAGAAGCTCAGCTTAAGGCCTATGATATTAATGAAACAGGGACTGAGTATCCCTATAGCATTAAGAATTTTAAGTACAAACATCAACTTGACAGATAAACTGTTTTCCACTGACCTTTGCCAAGTCCTTTCCAATAAATGCATACCACTGATTTAGATAACAAAATTTTTGAATACTGACAAAAAGGTTTTTTTCCCGACCCTTCCCCCAACCCCCAGTTCTTATTTTTCAACAGGAGTTATCATGAGAAATGGTTTATCACGACTCTGAAATGAGCGAGTTTGGATTGAATTTTCAATGCTGGTTGGCTTATCTAACCCAGCGATTATTTTGGATAAAGACATTAGATTCCCAACACAGAGAAGGGCCCAGAAATTTGCAAAGTGCTACATGAAAGTCTCCAGAGAAAGGCTGTAGGTTAAGATTTTGTGTCCTCTAGTTAGCTTCAGGAAAGCATTTTTCAAATCTGTTTATGGAGACTAAAAAGCAAATGTTTTCCTGTCCCCAAACCATATTCACTCTAGTGCATCTCTTCATTCTTATTGCCCATTTCATATTGCCTCAGGTTGTCTCTAGCTCCAGAGCATAACCTTCTCCTAAACCTCAATTCACCTTCCTTCAAGCCCCATCCCTTCTGTATTCCCCAAAGGGCTCCAAACACTGCAACCTTCGAAGACCTACTCACAGAGAGAGCAAGGACCTCACTAAAATGTCCACAGAGGCCTCAGTGTACATAAATCCCAGTATTACTGTTATCAGAAGGAAGAGGCTCAATTAAGTGTGAAAGAAGTGGCTTTACCCAAAGAATTAAATTAAGCCCAGGGCCTCCTCCAAAAAAATGCATTTGCAGTCATTCCTGTTTCTGCACAACTTGCAAAAATTAATATACTATGTATTCATTGCCTTTAAAGAGGATCCCCAGATTTTACATAGACTTCAGGTCCTAAACCTAGATTGTCCCTGACTTGGATGAAAAGCTATTAGCCCCAAGAGCATGCCACAGGGCTCAAGCTGGATCACCAACGAATCACCAAACGGGCTGTGTCCGTCGTTTCCAAACACACCTAGTGCAGTGTGTAACAAGGGCACCACAGGAAAGATAACCCTTCCAAGTATCTTTCTTGGATAATCCTAAACATTGACCATAACAACACATTTCATATGCTGTTAATACCAAAAGCTTTAAAAGGCACTTTTCAGATGACTCTGATATTTTGGCATTTGATATTCTGGATATTCTGGATTTGCCTTTTTTTTTTTTCCCCTCTAAGAGATCCCCTCACAAGGCCAGCATAAGGGCAAATGACCTATAATCCAGGTCGGCATTCTCGAACTTAAGTCTGCTAACACTTGCCAAAGAGCCAGTTAAAGTACACATTTCTGAGTCCCACCTCCCCACCCAAATTTCATAATCTTTAGGTCTCAGCTGGGGGGGAGGGGAGACGAATCCTCCTCCTCCCAGGTCTCGGGAGGTTGTGCACTGGAAGAACAGAGCAGGTTGGTGGCCGCAGCTGAAGCTCTACCACGGATGACCTTGATAGACAGAAAAGTGATGTTCACTTAGAGAAAACGTGAAAGGAAAAAAAAAACAAAAACGTGGAGAGACACAGGGACAGCAGAGGATAACCGGAACTCTCAAGTCTCAGAAACGCAGGTGGTGTCTACTGCACGGTACCGGCTAGGGTGTGGCCGGCCACGACTCCTTCCGCGGAAATCAAGCTGCAGAATCGATCTATGAGGGAGAGCTGGGGGCTGCAAAGGCACACAAGTTCGTCTCCCCTGGAAGCCACGTCTCGCATTAAGGCCGGGGAGGTGGGCGCAGCAGCAGACCCGGAGGGGGGCCCCGCGCCCGGAGCGCAGGGCCAGGGTCTCCTCACACAAAGCCAGACCCCGGCGTGGGCGCGAACCTGAACAATCCCCGCGAGGGAACCCCACAGACCCGAGCCCCACAGACCTCAGGGGGTGGCAGAGAAAACCAGGAGACAGGACGCCACTCGCTAGGTGATTCTTTATTACAAGTTGGGATGTGGAGGAAGGCAGAGGGGGTGAGCCCCCGAGTCTGGCAGAACCGTCTAGAAGGAGGAACGTGGCTCCCTCACGCCTCCACGGGCATCCCCTCCCCCCACCAGGGCTCGGAGCTAGAAAGGGGCGCCCCCCGCCCGCCCGCCCACGGGGGTCACCGTCGCCCGCCCGTCCCGTCTGGCGACCAGGAGCGGCGCCCTCCCCGGGGACCCCGCCCGCGCCCGGGCGCAGGAAATGGCGGGGCGCCGGGCGAGCCGGGCCAGCGCGGGAGGCCGCGCCCGGCGGGGTCGCGGGGTCGCCCGGGGCCGCGGGGAAGCTGCCGCCCAGCCGCCCGTCCCGCCCCTCCGCCGGGTCCCCGGCCGGCCGCCCGCCTCCCGGCGCGCTCACCGCCTTCATGGCGGAGGCCATGTCGTCGTAGCGCTCCGCCTGCTCGGCCAGCCGCGCCCGCTGCAGCAGCTGCTCGCGGTCCCCCATGTCGCCGGTGGCTCAGCCTAGCCTCGCGCCCCGCACCGCTCGCCGCTCGCCCGCGCGTCTGTGGGCTCCGAGACGCCGCCGCCGCGCACGCGCACCAGCTCGCCGCCGGCCCGAGGCTCCAGGCTGCAGGCAGCGCCGCGGCTCGCGCCCTCTCGCTGGCTCGCCCTGCGCGCAGTGGCTCGCGCCGCGGACGCCGCCGAGGGAGGAGAGGCGACCGCGCGGGGGGGGGCGGGGGGGGGGAGCGGGCAGGCGGCAGGACGCCTGCGCAGTGGGAGCGGCCGGGCCGGGCGGCGGGGAGCGGCGGGAGTGGGAGGGGGCGGGGCGGGCCGGCGCTAACGGTCTATTTCAAGGTGACGTCACCTACTATAAATAGCCGCGCCGCCGCCCAGTCTGCGAGGCGCGCAGGCGCCCTGAGAGTGCTGCAGTTTACCGCCGCAGAGGTGGAGGTGGCGAGGGGAGAGCCCTGAGGAGACGGCGGGCGGGCGGGGGTGGGGGCGAGCGATGGCGGCTCCGCCCCGAGGAGCGCCTGCGAGTCTAGGTTAGAGGTCTGGCTAGAGAACGGCCCAGAAAACAAATAGCCCCACTTCAGGGAGAAGCCCGGAGGCCGCGCGCCCCGAGGGGCGGGTCGGCCCGCCCGGCAGTCTCGCCCGCCGGACCCCGCCGGGCGGTGGACGCGGCCGGGCCACACCCTCGACGGCGCGGCCTTGGGGACACCCCGCGCGCGCTCGCGCCGTCGGCCTGCAGGGCGGTGCCCCCGCCCTGTGAAGAGACCGCGCCTTCTCCCGGAGGAGCGCCCGGCGCCCCCCGGGGACAGTGAGGTTCACCTTGTAGCAGGCGCTGGCTTCATCCTGCCGAGCCCTCGCAACCCGTTCTGCGGTTGGGCATAGCCGGGCTCCCCGTTGCTCGCTCGCTTAACTAAGGCCACAGAGCCTGGAAGTGGTGGCGGCAGCCTCTGTTCAAACCTAGGCCAGGCTTTTCTCCACCTTTGGTGAAGAGAGGGCTGCACCGGCCGGTGGTCACTCAGCCTGTCCTCGCCCTGGCATTGTTGCTGAGTCCCTGCCAGGTTCTGGGCTGTCCCTGGGGCCAGCTAGGAAATTCCCGGTGACTAAAGCACACCTGACATGCCAAGGAAAGCACGGGAGGAGGGCTCTTAGGAGAGATGAGGATTTTATTGAGCACCTACTGCAGGGCTCAGCACTGGGGGAGGATGGCTGGTAAGTTAACAGCCTTTGGCTCTGAGAACCTAAGATGTAAATACTCAAGCACAGATAAGTGGACCTTGAAGGAGATGAGTCAGGGAAAAGGTATTATTAGGTTGTGGGGTCCAGCATGGGCAATGGCTTGGCAGTGAGGGCAGAAACAAAATGTGGGAGGTGGTGAGAGACCCGGCAGTGGGAAATGAGGTTGGGGAAGACAAACTGATGAAGAGTTTTTGGCACCAGGCTGAAGATTTGAGGCATTACCCAAGGTAATTGGGAAGAGCTGGAGGTTGGAGGCTGTATTTCAGACCAAGCATCTTGCTCTGAGAGAAGGGGCATTAGCAGGGAGAAGAGAGTGACTGGAGAGGATGTCTTTTCTGGAACTCTGTTTTACCATCTGGAAAATTAGGCTTGGAGGACTATTAAAAGCACTGCAGAATAGAAATCCTAGAATGTCAGAGCTGGCAGGACACTTGGAGTCACGACTGCCCAACCTCTTACTCTGCAAAAGGGAAAAATGAGGTCTGAGGAGGAAGAATAGCTGGCCCCTGTTTGCACATCAGTCAAACAGTTTCCCGCTTCCTGAGCCTTCTGCTCCCCACCCAGATATTAAAATGAGGCCCTCAGTGCCCCTGAAACAGGATTTGAGTCTGGGCCTGGGAGGAGGCCCCCACCCTGGGTTTCACCACGTTTTGAAGAGTCACCTTTGCTAACTACAAATGGAATTGAGGTTAACAAACCAGGCTAATCTTTTCCCTAGTGAGTATCTTAAGAGTGTAATAGATAATAGTTACTTGTCCACCCTGCCCTGCACAAGATGGGGTTCCAGTGAGAGGTGGGAAGAAGGCCAGTGCTGGGGGGTGGAGGGGCGCTCCACTGGTCCTTCCAGCTCTGACTGGGATTAGAGCCCTTCTAGCTTTTCTGATCATGAGATTGATTTCAAAACAGTGAAAATTAGGCAGACTGGAGCATTCTAATCACATTCAATTCTAATTGATTGTGACATTTGTAAATGTCACATAGGGGACACTTTGGTTCTCCCACACAGCTTTTCTTTCCTTCTCACCAAACCTGACTGTCTCCACTTCCTTCCTTCCTATCCACCCCCCCGCCGGTGCACTCTGGCTCTGCCCCCCTCCTCCACTTCAAGGGCCCTTGCTGTGGCCACCAGTGGTCTATTGTCAAATCGAAAGTCACATCACCTTCCGGACCCTCTTGGCTGCACCAGGCACAACCTGGCTGCACCGGGCTCTCCTCTCAACCTTCATGACCCTGCCCTCTCCTGACCTTCCCTCTGCGCCTTTGCCACTTCTTCTGTCTTCTGTTTGGGGTACCCTGAAATCCAGGGATTTCTCAGGGCTCTGTGCCAGACCCTCTCCTCCGCCCCTCTGCCTTGGCCTGGGTGGCCTAGTTCTCACCTATTCTAGAGGAGAAGGGAGTATCGCCCATGTTCCTGTAAGATGCTTTGCAGTGCTAGGCGTGTTTTCTTTTTCAAGATACCCTCTAAGATAGGTTCAATTCCCATTCCCATTTTACAGACAAGGAGACTAACTTGAAGATATTCTGTGACTTAAATAGCATAGCACAGCTGGTAATCAGCAGAACCAAGATTCAAACTCAGCTCTGTCCACCTCCCAAGCCTGATGGCTCCACTCTGCCCTGTAATGTGAGCTGCAAAGGGGTCAAGGTGTGACTCCTGTTAGGGGAACATTCAGATTGCAATAACCACACATACACACAAGCCTCCCCTCTTGTAGCCTACACATGCTTCCCAGCATGCATCTTCTTTACTCTGGCAAGAGAGCTGCCCACTCTCCCAAAGCTTCATAAATATAGACCAGGCCAAACACCTTAGGCAGGGGCACCAGCTTCCAGGATTCTAAGTCCCATCAAGAAATATGGCCCTTGAACAACTCCAAACAAAAGCCCCTAAGTTGGGAAGAGGCCTGATGACTAAGGTCAAGAATGCTGTGTTGCCCCCAGAGCTCAGAGCAGGTGCCCAGCGCATGAGCAAGGCCTGCTGTGTCTCTGCCTAGTACAGGGTCTCACTCAGGAAACAGCAAATCTGTGAAGCTACCAGAGGACGTGTGTGTGTGTGTGTGTGTGTGTGTGTGTGTGTGTGTTGTCATGGAACAGAAGGATGTAGACTTAGATTCCTATTCTTATAGTTACTAAGTTACTTTGTCCAGTTGCTTGTAAAACAGGACTAACCACATCAGTCAGGTTCCTATTCTTATAGTTACTAAGTTACTTTGTCCAGTGGTTTGTAAAACAGGAGTAACCACATCAGTTCTGTGTGCAGGCACCTGCTTAGGACCCTGAGCCAGTAGTAACGACTACTCCTCTGGTAGGACTAGATTTCCAAAGCATTGCCAGAACCCTCCTCCGGAGCCCAGTGAATAGGTGACCCAGAAAAGGCACATCCTGTTTTTTTCTAGGGTACTCTGGGACACTCTGAGTTCCCGGAGAAGTCTGGACACCCAGGGACATATTACAAAGAAGACCTAGTGTTGTTCTAAAGAGATGGTGTTCACACTGTTGGCATGGTTACCATCTTGAGCAGGAGGGGCCACCTACCCACAGATTAGTGTCTCCCAGGTAGGATTTTAATTTTCCCCCAAATGCAGGCCTCTTGCTGCCAGGATGACCCTGCTGATCCTTAGCCATTGATAATCACACCACCAACAGCAGCATCAAGCAGCTCTTATTTATCAGTCACTGGCTTGCTGTCTTCCCAAATCCCCACAACCCTTACAAGAAAGTTGTTATCTCCATTATATGGGTGAGGAAAATGAGATCTAGAAGAATCAGACACTTGCTTAGCAGTCAAGGCAGACACCTGCACCCTCCCCACTCACCCACTTTTCGCCACTTGCTTTGGTCCCCATGTCCTTTTGCTGATACCAGATTCTATCCCCACTGTGTCTAAGATCAACCCGATCACATAGATTTCAGGATCATCCAGAACCTGCCATAACTCTCACTTTAGAAGCAGATCGGGCCCCCAACCCCAAGGCAGCTTTTGGCATTAAGAAGTGCAAAAGTGTCCTGGTAGCTGCAATCTGTGAGCTGGTGGAGCTCATAGCCCCGATGTCCTTTAATGCCCAGCTCTCCACAAACAACCCCTCTATACTTGTTCAGAGGATTTCAGCTCCGGTGTTCAAGGCAAAGCTCTTAACTGTGGAACCCCAGTTAAAAAACGAAAAGGCTTTAGTTTCAGTTCTGCATATGACTGAGGAGCTTGGGTTTCTTAGCCAGAATTTTCTAGATCCTTTAACTGGAACCATCTGAATAATTGCCTTAAGCTTCTGTGTGGTTCCCACTAGGTGGGCCCAGGTGGGAGGGGCTATGGTGTTTCCAGAAGAGTAGGAGACAGGGCCAGAGAGTGCCGCAACTTCCCTTCTCTTAGTCTTGGATTTCTTGCCTGTGAAATGGGAGACTGCACTGCTAGACAGTCGAGTTCTTTCTTTTTTCCTGCTCTGAAGGCCTAGGGTATTTCACCGCTGGAAGTTCAGCAAACGACATGGTAGCTCAAGAGGATGAAACAGGGATACTTCAAAGGGACCTGTGTTTGCAGTAGAAGAAGGTGATAGCAGGCCAGATTAGTGTCACCCAGCTAGTATCACCCAACACTTTGCCAGTGTGTGCCCACTTGGTTTCTTAAGATAAGGTCACTTATACTGTTCCAGTTGTACAGATGGGGGATCAGAGGCCCAGGGAGTTGCTTGCACAACAGCAGCATAGAGAGCTAAGAGCAGGATCCTGCACCCAGCCAAACTCTACCTTCACAATTCTTTTCTCTGCTGCCCCCAGCCCTTCTGAGAGCCTGAGAATATTCTTTTAATTGAGCTATGAGCATAACTCATCAATTGCTGCTTATACCCTACCCTGGGAAGTAAGGGAAAAGGTTGCCGAGTTTTCACCAAGGTTCCCTGCCAGGCAACTGTGCTAAAAAGTATCTTTTCCTCCCCAGTCTGTTGGTAGGAGGCAAGCAGATTGCAGCAACCTTCTCTCTTCTAGACAGCCGTGGCAGGCTGACCCCAACTCAGGAAACAGAGCCAGAGGACCAAAGCCACAGGAGAAAGCTGCCTCCAGGGGACTGGTCTTTGTTGACACAGCCCTGAATTGTCATGGAGTCCTAGGTAAGACCCTACACCCTTAAAAGACATGAGCTCCTCCATATGGCCCTTTGGAATCTGACCCTAGTCCACTTTCCCAAGCTCACCATCCATCCCCTGGACATACTAGACCTGCCAGGCCCTGCCCATGAATGCCTACCAAGGAAAACACCCCTTTTCATTCCATTACCTTGTTCTCTGCTTCTTTCTGTCCTTTAATGCCCAGCTGAAATCTTACCTCCTCAAAGGAGCCTCCCGAGTTCTCCTTCAAGAAACACTTTCTTCTGCCAGGCCCCCACTGTGACTCTGGTATCCACCATCTGCAGGAGTTATTTTGGTAGAATTGATGTTCATTGGCCAGTTGCAAGGCACCCATAACTACACTATGCAATTTTAGCTAATGTTTGATCTCCTTTAATCCTCCTGACAACTATCAAGTGGGAATTCATCTAAGGCCCATTGACTAGATGGTGGAATGGAAGATCATTTACCCAAGGTCATGTTGCTTCCAGGGACAGAGTCTGAATCTGGACCCAGGTCTTTCTGACTATAAAGTTCATGTTCTTAGTCACTTAGACCATCTGTTCTCCCCTTCCTTGGGAAGTTGCCCATGCCTTTATAGAATGTAGGCACCAAAGATAAGGCCTATATTTCACTCATTATCTGAGCCCCCAGCATGCCAGGCTGAGTGTCCTAAACCCAGGCACCTCTCCATGAGTGTGGAATTAAATGCCATCGCACTTCATGCAGATTGCAGAAATGCCCACCATTTTATAAGTGGCCATGATCTTTCTGAAGGGAGAGCACTTTAAATCTGCTGACAGCTCTGATTAATTGATAACTGAGTGAAAATAAGAAAAGGGAGGGGGTCTGGAGAAGAGGGCAAGACTGCACAAGCTAGGGGGTACTGAAAGGAGGAGGTGGTCTCCTGGCTTGCAGCTACTCAGACCCTCCTTAATCCCAGCTGTTCCATGGTAGCCGGGGAAGCCTGGGTCAGTCAGTGTACCTCTCTGGCTTTGGCTTTCCCTCCCATAAAATGGGCATGTAACAGGAGTACTTGCTGTTCACATCAGCCCCCTGCCCCTGCCCAGGCTGTTACCAGGAGGAATGAGGGTGTGGCTTACCCGCCCCCTTTAGATGGGGCCATTGGAGGATCAACCCAACTGAAATGCCCTCCCCATGAAATCACCGGACCCTGAAGGCATGAGGGGCAGCAGTGATCTCACATGGAATCACAGACTCAGCATTAGCATCTTGCAGAGCGTTTGGCTGTGGACTTAGAGCATAGCATGGTGGACCAATAGCCAGCTCTCCAGTAGATGCGCCTGGCTGCTGTGTGACCTCATGCATGTCACTTTGCCCCTCTCATCTTAAACAGGGTATTAAAATAATTCCTTTGCCACAACTCTGTTAGGAAGATCAGACACCCTGTTAGCGACAGCTGGTATTGATTTTAACTATGGGAAACTGAGGCTCAGAGAGCCTTGCTTGGTCACATAGCAGGTTGGCAGCAGGACCAGTTCTATGGTCAGGCCTCCTGAAGCCCTGTCCTGAGTGTGTCCTCAGAGAGCTGTAGTCTCACCTTGAAGAAAGCTGAGGTGACCTTGGAAATGTAGCGAGGAACCCACATAGGATCGCTGGTAAGATTCTGTGTCTCACTGAAATGAGAACTGCTTGGGGTAAGTGTGGCAGGAGAATGGCAAAAACCCCAAGTCATAGCTTGGGGGTCTCATCCACCATAGAACCCTGGGCATGGCAGGTTGCCTCACCAAGCCTCAGTTTCTCTGGTCACCAAATTGCGGAGGGTAGGGGGATAATTCTATAAAAGTGAAGAAATTCTAAAAAAGCACAAAGCTCTCAATCTACATTGAGCCCTGTGCTGGCAGCAGCTTCATTTAGCATTCAAGCAATCCTTCAAGTTTATAATAAATGGCTTGGAAGGAGTAGAACAAGGGTCTGCTCTCTGATCCTACTCCCTCTGCCCAGAACACTTACCCTCCTCTTTCCATACCTAGCTCAGTTCCTTCTTCAGGTCTTAGTATTACCCGAGCTTCCTCTGGAAGGACCCCTCAGCCTCAGGCTAGGGTGGGCACCTATTCTGGCCCACCATGCTGGGTTTACCCGTCTGTGTTAGACTGTTTCTCCCCCTCCTCCATCAGGTGGGGAGTCCCACAACATGGGGACTGTGTCATGCTCACAGCTGCATCCCCAGAGACTAGTGCTGCTTGGCATACAGCAGGTGCTCAATAATTACTTGCCAAGGAACTGGATGTACACTTGCTAAATGACTGTGTGCCGGCATTAGGATGCCACCTGGGCCCCAAGGGAGCTGGGGAGATGGGAGGAAAGCTCTTGGACTTCTGCCACACCTTACATTAGCAGCATCTTCTCCAAGACCCGACAGTCATCCCCTGGGATGCCATTTGAGCCAGCTGAATTCCGGTCACTGCTTCACCTTGGAAAGGCTGCCGCAGCCCTCACCAAGCAGCCCAGTAATTGACGTCACAGTGGTGCCAGGAGCTGCCCCATTAATATTTAATGTGGCTTTCACTGCGGCAGAGCTGCAGGCTGGAAGAGCTGGAGGGGGTTGTGCAGAGACCCCATGGGTTTGTGAGGAGGGCACAGATGGGAAAGGGCTTCATCAACTGTACAACCCAGCAGATGAGCATTATACAGGCCCATTTTAGTCCCTGGCTTAACTCCGAAAGAGCCAGGGAAGCATGTGCCTACAGCGAAACAAGGCAAATGCTGACAAGCCCAAGCGATAAATATGTAGGCAATTAGGGGCTCCCAGGACTTTCCCTGGGACAGTGGGAGGGCAGAGCACTGGTGCCAGCCAGACCTAGACTCCATTCCAGGACAGCACTGTGCTGCTGTGTGGCCTGGGAAACTATAGAGCTGAGCCTCAGTTCTCTAATCTGTGAAATGGGCATAAAAATACCATCCTGGAAGGGCTATTGTGAGCACTAAATGAGTCAAGTGATGTGGAGGACCTAACTCAGTTCATAGGACCCCTCTACCAAACCCCTCTTCCAAAGCCTGAGTTTGGAGAGAGATGTGGGCCCTTTGCACATTCACTGGCCAGATCTATGGTGAAAAGGAAGAAGTAGCGATGAGGTATAGGAAAGGAGACCTTAGAGCCAGCTGTCTCAGGTTTGGCCTTGTCATTATGGGGGCAAGGGGAAACCCCCAGGAAAGATGTCAGAGGCTCCCCAGAGCCCCAGGATGGCATAAACAGAGGGGCCCTGGTGGAGCATCTCTGCTCTTGCCTGACCGATGAGGATGCCAAGGACCCAGGAGAGAGCAGATCTGCTGAGTGGCTGGCCTGGTCAAGCTGGGATCTCACCTGGTGTGCAGTCACCTGCCCAAGACTGCATCACCTGAGACATTTACCCAGTGGGGGAGGCAGGTCGAATGACGAGATGCCCACATTCCCTGCTAGACCTCTGATGCTCCAGCCTGGGCAAAGCAGGATTCCTGCATCCCATTCTGGTCTCCCTCCAACGTGTTTGCCGGCAACTCCTGGGAGCTTCCCAAAATGTAAATGTGACCACATCATCCTCCTGCTTACAACCCTTCTGTGGACCCACACTTAGGGTTGCCAGAGAAAATACAGGCAGCCCAGTTGAAACTGAATTTCAGATAAACAACAAATGACTTTTTAGCATAAGGCTATTCCAAATACTGCATGCACATAATTATACTAAAAAACTTACTTGTTTATCGTTTATCATCTGAAATGCAAAGTTAACAGTCTGTATTTTTTTTTCTAAGTAGGCCTCGTATCTATTAGGACTTGTTTCCCCTAGAGGAAGTGATGTGATGATGCCCTCGACTTCACACAGGCAGTGACAGTTCCTAAATACAAGTCTAAATATACAACTTGAACTTGAACTCAGAGACACTTTTGGAGTAAATAGCTCCTGGCAGGTTTGTGCTGTCTAAACAGCCGGCCTCCAAAAGGCACATGCAGGTCGGCAGGCAGGCACACTGATTTCAGGCTTAAGCTCTAGGTGGTAGCGAGTTCATCTGTCCCTTGGTCCACAGCATATGACAGCAAATTCTGTTTCTAAAAGTTTTCTTTGTTTCTTTCTTGCCTCCTTCTCCTTTCCCCTGCCCATTCAGTGGGGAAAAGAAATGAAACATACATGGTGAAATCTCCCATCGGCAGCATCATCTTCACCGTATGCCATCCTGCATTTATTTTATTTTATTTTTTTTAAAGTGGCATATATTGGGTCTCCCCGGTGGCGCAGCTGTTGAGCGCTGGGTTGCGAAGCTGCCCGCAGCCGCTGCAGTGCCGGTTCGATCCCCGGCTGCTCCCCAGCCACTGGAGGAGGGTCCCACATGGCACGCAGACCTCTCCTGCCGCCCGCTGCTCCCCTCAGCAGTGTACTTCGGTCCTTCTGCCTGCTCTGCTCCCCGCTCTGGCTCTGGTGAATTCTCTCACCCTCCCGCGCTTCTGACTGTACCCAGTGCTTGTATAAATAAATAAATAAATCTTAAAAAAAAAAAAATAAAGTGGCATATATTTATTTATTTGTTTGCTTGTTTGTTTGTTTTTTGTGTGTGTGTTTATACATGCACTGGGTACAGTCAGAAGCGCGGGAGGGTGAGAGAATTCACCAGAGCCAGAGCGGGATGCAGAGCAGGCAGAAGGACTGAAGTACACTGCTGAGGGGAGCAGCGGGCGAGTGGAGGGGTCTGCTGTGCCATGTGGGTTGCTCCCTGGCCGGGGATCGAACTGTGCTGCAGAAGCTGCCAATAGCTTCATAGGTTGTGTCTTTTTTTTTTTTTTTAAAGATTTATTTATTTGTTTGTTTGTTTGTTTATACAAGCACTGGGCACAGTCAGAAGCATGGGAGGGTGAGAGAATTCACCAGAGCCAGAGAGGGGAGCAGAGCAGGCAGAAGGACCCAAGTACACTACTGAGGGGAGCAGCGGGTGGCAGGAGAGGTCTACACGCCATGTGGGACCCTCCTCCAGTGGCTGGGGAGCAGCTGGGGATCGAACCGGCACTGCAGAGGCTGCGGGCAGCTTCGCAACCCAGCGCTCAACCGCTACGTCACCAGGGAGGCCCCATAGGTTGTGTCTTAACCCCTTGCACCACCAGGGAAGCCCTTGCTTTTTAATTTTTTTTTTAAAGATTTATTTATTTATTTATACAAGCACTGGGTACAGTCAGACGCGCGGGAGGGTGAGAGAATTCACCAGAGCCAGAGCGGGGAGCAGAGCAGGCAGAAGGACCGAAGTACACTGCTGAGGGGAGCAGCGGGTGGCAGGAGAGGTCTGCGCGCCATGCAGGACCCTCCGCCGGTGGCCGGGGAGCAGCCGGGGATTGAACCAGCGCTGAAGAGGCTGCGGGCAGCTTCGCAACCCAGCGCTCAACCCCTGCGCCACCGGGGAGGCCCCCTTGCTTTTTAATTTTTAAGGATACTTATATTTCTCATTAGGTCAGTCTGATGAACTGACCAAAAAAAAAAAAAATTACTCCTTTATTTGTGAGTTTTACAATACTATAATACATAGAAAAACACAAACGCGTGCAGATTGCCCGGGCAAAACTGACAAGTGACAGACATGTATTCTAATTTGCTCAATCTGGCAATCCTGTGCAAACCCTTTCAGGAAAAAGGTTGGAGACTTTAACTGACCCACAAGGCCCATTGGGCCCCAAGCTCATCCCTTCCCTCTCTTCCACATGAACTCCGCTTCAGGTACAACTCAGCTTATACTTGAGACTCCCAAACTCTCCGTCCCTGCTCTGGGCTTTGCAAATGCCATTCCTTCCGCTGGGACCGTCTCAGTACCCCTCCCGCAGCTCACTGCGCTTGACCTGACTTGTCCATCCTCCAGGCCTCTGAAGCATTGCCGCTTCCTCTTGGAAGCCTACTGGCTCTGCAGGCCTGGATGGTGCCTTCTCCAGGTTTCTACTATACCTTGGGCAGGTCTTCTGTCTACCCTGGTCACTGAGTGCAGTTTCTGAGTTTAGCAAATATTTGTTGCATTGAATTGCTAAATTCACAGCCTATCAACATTTTCCACTACTTTGGTTAAACTCTCTGTCCTGAAAGGCCTCCTTAGGATCCTATATCCTCCAGGGCTTCCCTGGGACCCACAATCCTTCCAGCTTGGTTGCCATCCTGCAGTGAGCACTCTTCCCAGTGAGATCAGCACCCCTCAAGCTCCCCTATGGGGGCCTCCCTGGTGGCACAGGGGTTAAAGCGCTATCAGGCTATCGCCAGCCACTGCAGCATGAGTTAGATCCCTAGCTGGCCAGGGAGGTGACCCACATGGCACAGCAGACCTCTCCTGCCTCACCCGCTGCTCCCCTCAGCAGTGTATTTCAGTAGATCTGCCTGTTCTGTTCCCCACTCTGTCTCTGGTGAATCCTCTCACCCCCCATACCTCAGGTCTACACCCCAGTTCTTGTATGCATAAATAAACAAACAAACAAATAAATAAATAATTTTTTTTTAAGCTCCCCTGTGACTTGTGGTGCCCAGAACTGCTCCTTCTAGCCAGATGGTGATGAAAAAGGCTAGTGAACTTAGAGATGCTCTGAGGGTTAATCCGAGCTCCTGTGTTTATCCTCCCACTCAGTGGCCAATAACCAAAATCCTACCCCTGCCCTCCACCAAAATCCTATATCCTATGTGCCCATAAGGAGGTTGGGAAGCAGCCTTCATTCCCACTTTACAGCAGAGGAAACCAGGAAGTGGAGGAACCCAGTGTCTGGCATTTTGGTCTCTGGACCCCAGTCCACCCCAGGATTTTTTTAACCTGCTTCCTCCTTCTCTAGTCACACATCATTCTTGGAAGAGTGTTCCAGGGAGAGGAGGAAGCTCTACAAACTATTAAAAAAAAGGACACCTGGATTCTCTAGCAAGGCCCCTCTAAAGCCTTTAAGTTAGGCCATACAACATGGGTTCAAATTCTAACTTGCAACTTGTATGACTTTGGACAAATGGTCTGGCACTGGCAGAGGTTTGATTTTCCTTCTGCAGGAGACAGGCGCCCGGAGAAAGGGAAGGGCTGAGGAGATGCTGCTAGATATAGGGCAGATGCAATAAAGAGAAGTCCACAGCCTCAAAGCCCTTGGGCAATCAAGGTGGAATGTTCCCCCACCTGACCACCAGCTGAGGGGGCAGCTACCTGTTCCCCTTTGCATCCCCTGCAAGTGGCCCTCATATCTCAGCACCACCCCAGATGGTGACTCTAGTGGTTCTGCAGAGACTGGTCTGTCTGCCCTTGTTGCCATGGTGCTGCAGCACAGCCTGGCCAATCAGGAAGGAGACGGGTATCTGAGCCTGAAGCCCGGCCAATGGGAAGGGCGACAGAGTGGAGCCACCATGGAAACCTCAGCCCTGCACCCTGTTTTTGTCTCCATGTCTCGTTTGCAGGGGGGTAGGGCTGGGTTTCTGCATTCCTTTTTTGCAAAGAGCATCTTGTAGCCCCCAGAGGACATTCAGAAGTCATGACAGGAGAGCATGCCAAGAAGCATCTTCTTCAAAGAGTCAGGGAGGACCCCAGCTTAACAGGCAGAGCTCCAGACGCCCCCTCCATCCCTCTTCACCCAGACACTCAGCCGCACCTGCATCTGTGATCTTAGTCCATCCCGACAGTTCTACCCAGCTCTGTCTGTCCTAGGCAAGGGCTATAGTGTGCAGAAAAAGCGTCACCCCTAAAGCAAGTGTGGGAACATGGGGCTCATCCCTGAGAGGTGCTCTTCTGCCCTATAGCTTTGTGACTTTGCACAGGCAGCACCCCATCTTCTCCAGCATGGAGGGTAGGGCAGGAAGATGGTGATCAAGGTCAGACAAGGTCTCTCTAAAATGAGAAGATTTGGAAAATGAGTTTTGTGATTCCTTTCAGGGCTCACATTCTAGACTTAGGCTGTTTTAACTTCAGGCTCTGAATAAAGTGGATCTACAAGGAATCACTTCCCAAGAGGGAGCCCTGTAGATAATGCCAGTGGATGCAAATAAGACTTACAGTGCCAGATGAGCTGGGCTGTCAGTTTTAGAGCTGAGGCCCAGAGGGGTGAAGCAGTCCCTCAAGGCTGCACAGCTACCCAGATGCACAGCCAAGACTGAAGCCCTCACCAGGCCCAGCCTTCAATCTGCAACATGCCTCCTCCACCTTCGCATCCTCAGGCAGGCAATCGGGAAGCTGTGCATGCCCACACATCAAACACCCTTTATTTATTTTCATTATTTTTTTATTCATATCTTTTGCATCATTGTGTATTCCTTGTAAAAGTGCCTCCACCAATTCACCTGCGAACCATCACCATAGTCCCTTGTGCTCTTCTCTCCCGTTTTGATCCCTCTCCTCCTCCTTCACAGAATGTCTCTGATTTATGGCTGCCTGCTAATTTTGTTGTAGGTTTTTAAAAAAATTGTTATTACTATTATTGTTATTTTTTTTCCTGATCCCTTATTTGGTTCCCCTATATTCCTCCTATAAGTGAAACCATCTGATATTTTTCGTTTTCCTTCTGGCTTATTTCACTGGGCATAATCTCTTCTAGCTCCATCCATGTTGTTGTGAATCCCAACACCCTTTGTTTTACAAACACCAGCATTATAACAATGCAAGGGAAAGTGTGTGCCACCCTTCCCCACTCCCTCCTGGCTTTCACTGTTGCCTGGCAACAGTTCTATCCAGAAACCTAGATGTCATGGTAGACAAATCCCTCACCCTCATCCTTTCCACCAAGCCCATAGCCCAGCCATGTCCATTTTGTCTCCTAAATGACCCTTGAGTCCACCCCCTCCTTCCCTGCCCCCAGTGCTTCTGCAGGCTGAGGTTCTGTCATGATTTCCTGGACAACTACACAGGCCTCTTGCAGGTCTCTTGCTTTTACATTTACCCCATCCCTTGCTTCCGTTTTCTACAACCACAGCCAGACAATTTTTAAAAGTACAAATCAGGGGGCCTCCCTGGTGGTGTAGGGGTTAAGTTTCAGCTCTATCAAGCGATCACCACTGTGGTCTGAGTTCGATCCAGGCCAGGAAGCAAACCCACATATGGTGCAGCAGACCTCTCCTGTCTTGCCTGCTGTGTTTCTGGTGAATCCTCTCACCCTGCCCCCCCGCACCTTTGGCCTGCACCCAAGCTCTTATATGCATAAATAAAAAAAAATAAAAGTACAAATCTGATAGTGTCACCTGATGCTTGCTTAGAACCCTAAGAATAAAAATCAAAATCCTTAACGTGCTTAAGAGGTCCTTGTGGACAGACTGACACCACCACTCCC